AATTGTTGACTAGTGACAGTTAACTCGTCATCGTTATTTGCATTATCTATTTCAATTTATGAAACCCAGGACAATATAGAATATTGCGTGTGAAAGTAATTTTGAAGATTGGATTGCAAAATAATTCAAAACAATCCAATAATCGGTGACATGACAGAGTTTCTATGTAAAATTGACAGTCAACAAAGTGTTAAAACAAAAGTGCTAAAAATTCGCGATTATCCTGTTACTCGAGATTCATTGAAGCTTCGTGTCTCGTTCGAGAAACATTTCCTCTCGTTTTACACGATGGATGACGTCGCGAGGAACAGGGAATAATTTCTGTTGTAAATTAGCTACGCCTATGCAACGATGGAGACAGGCCTGTTAGAGGTTGCAGGCCAATACCGACCTTTGGACCTCAAGATACTATGCAGGCATCAAAGGGTCGGTTTTTGGGGTTTAACCCTTTGCACTCGAGAGGTGACCTTCAGTCACCATTTCATAAAACTTGGAACATCGATATTAATTAATATATCAAATTTAATGTAATGTAACAGTGTGCGAAGTATCGAAGTCAAATAATTCTACAATTCTATTATTATACAATTTTTGATTTACTGCTCAAAAAGGTATTGTCAGTGTTTTAGTAGAGAATCTTTGAATTTCTATTCTACTCTAGCCAAAAAATCGTCGAGTGCAAAGGGTTAAAAGGGCCTGCTCTGTCTGGCTACTCTCACTCTCACACCCAGAACAGTGCAGATCGCTTACGTATTGTGATCCACAGTGGTGTGATAAAGACTCTCGTTTTTCCTTATATATTCGCATAAAGTGTATAGATTTGACTTGCATTAAACTTTATAAATCCAATTGCTGTACAACTGAATACGGTTACTTCCCTATGCGCTAATGGTTTGGATTCCCTTCCCGAAATTCCCAACAATTTCCAGAGTATTTTGACAGGGCGCAGATCGGAACAGAGCATAATGCGAGAAGTTAAGCGGATAATAAGGTCGGGTAACGATCAGACGACGAGTTTGCATGTACGAATTCGCATGATTTCGCTCTGGAATGTATACAACGCTTGCTCTTCGAATGGTTTCGCTGCGATTTCCTGGCACTTCCGGTTCATCCCGCTCCTGCAAGTTGGCGAATTTCCACGCGACGATGCGCTGAAAACTTGCGGAAAATTCAGGAGGACTCGAGCGGAACACACCTCTGTCGTTAGTCTTTCGGGAATCTTGGAAACTTTCATTTCCAGAGGGGATCGCTGCAATCTCGCGACGCCTTAATAATAACTTCCGGTCGAACAAAGCGGCGTCATTAATTGCTGCTTCAGATTCCATTAAGTTCCAGCAACCGATGCGTGAAACCTGTAAGAACCGATAACGGAGTTAACGACTGTCAGGGAAATGATACTATGGATCGATACCGTAACGGAGAATTAATTTTTCTAATTTTATTCGGTCTTACCTTTAGTCTTAATTAACATCTCGATTAACCTATGAGTCCTTCAAATTTTTCACTCCAAATTCCACGTTATCTCTCTCTCTCAATTTTCTGTCAAGTTGACTGTCATGGAAATGATATTAGGGATCGATACCGTAACGGGGAATTAATTTTTCTAATTTTATTCGGTCTTACCTTAAGTGTTAATTATATCTCGATTAACCTATGGGTCCTTCAAATTTTTCACTCAAAATTCCACGTTATCTCTCTCTCTCAATTTTCTGTCAAGTTGACTGTCATGGAAATGATATTAGGGATCGATACCGTAACGGGGAATTAATTTTTCTAATTTTATTCGGTCTTACCTTAAGTGTTAATTATATCTCGATTAACCTATTGGTCCTTGAAATTTTTCACTCAAAATTCCACGTTATCTCTCTCTCTCAATTTTCTGTCAAGTTGACTGTCATGGAAATGATATTAGGGATCGATACCGTAACGGGGAATTAATTTTTCTAATTTTATTCGGTCTTACCTTAAGTGTTAATTAATATCTCGATTAACCATCGGTATTTGAAATTTTTCACTCAAAATTCCGTGTTGTCTCTCTCTCTTTCTCTCTCTCTCTCTCTCTCAATTTTCTGCCAAGTTGACTGTCATGGAAATGATATTAGGGATCGATACCGTAACGGGGAATTAATTTTTCTAATTTTATTCGGTCTTACCTTAAGTGTTAATTATATCTCGATTAACCTATGGGTCCTTGAAATTTTTCACTCAAAATTCCACGTTATCTCTCTCTCTCAATTTTCTGTCAAGTTGACTGTCATGGAAATAATACTACGGATCGATACCGCAAGGGAGAATTAATTTTTCTAATTTTGTTCGATCTTCCTGTCTTAATTAGCATCTCGATTAATCTATCGGTGCTTAAATGACGGTTCCTTTGAAACATTTTAGTCAAAATTCCACGTTATTTTTCTCTCTCAATTTTCTGTCAAGTTCTTGCATCATCGAGCCGTCACCTGATCGCGATAGGTTCCATGTCGAAGGATAGATTTTATTTTATTATTAACGAAGGAATTTTTAAATAAGACGAGAAAGGAGATTCGCTCGGGTGGAATATTTTTTCGAGATTTCCGTGGTTATTGCAACGATGAGCATCGTCGAATCAGCCTCTCTCCGAGCACCGACATTCGTCTAGATGGGAAATTCGAGCTGTCAGGAAACAGACGTTCTGGCCAGGACGTTTAACGTCATAGGCAAAGCCGAGATTGCGTAATTAACAGGATATATCCTTCCCAATCCTCCCCTATGTCGGTAGCAAGGGGTTCCGCGTCTTGCAAAGGGGGATTGAGATCGTGTTACGCTCCTGTCGGTTACAGGAACCACTTGCTAAAGCCGCCTAAGACGACTACCAAGATTGATTGGAATCCCGAGTTCCACGCGAGCTGCTTTGGCCACAGAGTCGATTGTTTTTGAATTGTAATCACTTTGATACACTGCTGATGCAGCTACTTGCATCCGACACGGAAGTTTCCAAGAGTCGAACGAGAGGAGCGGAGGATTATCGCGTAATTTCGTACGCAGTCCTCTGATTCGAGGCTTTTTAGCGTGAAAGCCTCTGTAAATGGAAATTAAATGGAAATGCAAGTTACTTCGACTGGAATTATTTGTCGCATAATGAAACGTGTACCCTTAAGAGAAGGCGCTGCTAATTTTCCACGTTGTCCGATACTTGTACCGAATTTCAGGCTTCTTCATTCTGCCAATTTGCACGAGCTAGCAAATTCCACGACCAAACATTTTCGAACGGGCGACATAGCCTGCGCGTTTTAACATTCAAGAGGTAAAACTTGCCACGCGATTATCAAATAATCCGACCGCGTAAATCGTGGCTTGATTAAATGCACGGATACCGCAAGAAATGGAAAGTTTCGAACGGATGCCGTCCTATTCGCGCGGTTTTATTGATCTTGCGGGAAAATTCCTCGTTTACCTTTGCACGTGAAGGCGAAAACTTGCCATGGAGGGCGAAGTTTCGCGGAATAAGGGTAGCAGCGTCGTGAATAAAGCGCTGGTTCTCGTGGAACTTACACGAGTCGACGTGTATCGCCTCGATCGACGTTCAAACCATCTCGCGAGGAATAGCAGAAGAATAACCGTGGAAAAATATTCGTCGCCAAGAGGATCGTGACGAAATAACGCGAAAGGAACTATTTTAGAGCTTTCCGTATTTGATTAAAATTCGATCGATGAAGATTGACGACTTCATGAATTTAATTTCTGTCGAACGTGGAAATAGAAAGGCCATTTTACAATTATCTTATCATTTATCGACCTATTAAAACCTACCATATCGTGCGACACTCGTGGTAGAGCAGTCGGGTCAAACACGAGTATCACGTGCGAGAGCCGTGGTACGAGGACAGCGCCAAAGATGACCGAAACGGGCCAGACTCGTGCTTAATTTTCATCGATATCTTTCTATCTAGGTTACCTGATATTCTCGAAATGAATCGACGCGAGTATATTGTTGATTATGACACAGCTATCGGAGCTTGAATTATAGGGAAACTGGATAATTATTTTTTCCAGGAAAGCAAACGAAAATTTTCCCGAGAAAAGATCGATTTTAAACCTTCCTGTATTTAGAACTTAATTCACGGAGACTGAGAGCTCCTCGAATTTAATTTCTACCAAATCTACAAGCGGAAACGCTATTTCAGGAATCATGTTTTATCATCTAGTGACCTATTTGTTTTCTCCAGGAAGAATAAGGGCAATTTTCTCGTGGAAGGCACTATTTTAGATTTTTTCATATTTAAAACTTAACAGCTGATAATTGATGGCTCCTCGAATTTAATTTCCGCAAAACGTTGAAACGGAGACGCTATTTTAGAAATTATCCTGTATCATCTACCCATCCACAAATAATTTTCTCCAGAGAGAACGTTGCACGTTCTGCAAGAATTATTAAATTATTCGCAAGAATTCTAAAATCGACTGGTGCCATCGATAGTCCTTTGTACGATACTTTCCCGATCGTTTACCCAGGCATCTGCTTCCACGAGGAGAAATCAGAACGATAGCCGAAGGTATAGCGAGCGAGATTTGTAAGGGAGAAATGAAATTCGATGGAGGATCGAATCGTTGGGCAGCACGAAAACAAAACGTCGCAGAGAACGTGGTTAATAATGGAGGCTGCCATGGATAGCCTGGAAACTCTTAAATTCTGGCGCACGACGTAATTAAAAGACCTCCTGAATCTTTCAGATTCGTTTAATGAAACTCGTGGAAAAAATCGATTTTTACCCCGGCTGCTTTGTTTCCCTTTCATTTTCACTGTCCTTTTTCCGAACGCCGGGATATCGGTTATGCACTCTAATCTGGAACTCGATAATTCAAAGAATGCGAAGAAGGAGAACGCGATGGAAGTTAACGAAGAGTCACGAGGCGCGTTCCCTTTGAAATTTTCACGTGCAGCAGCACTGGTGACGGTAATGCCACGGTGTACGTGAAAGAAGGTACTCGATTATACGATATTCCCTTGCTCGGTATTCCGTAGTTCCTGCGGTGCGATGGAGGGTGCGGCAGGGAAGTCATAGTTTGATCGGTAATATTATTAAACCTGCAAGTTCAACAGGATATTTAAGGTCCTGGACAGAAGTTGGGCAACTTCCGACGAAATTATAATATTAAACTGAGCGAGATTAATTCCGGGAAACTTTTTATATTTACCTCACTTTGTCCGGGGCAAGTGGTTGCAAGAGAAATAAAGTTGGCCGAGCAGGGTAACTGGAATTGGGTAGAAACGAAATTAAAGAAGTATTTTATTGAGGGAAAAAGAAAGATAGAAATTCGATAAATTAGGCGCAATAATTAGGCGAAATCCATTACCGGGGTTCTCCATTCGAGGATCAGGACGTCGTGGATCCACGCTCGCAGCGAGGATCATCGTGACAGGACCAGCATAGAGATGGAAGTATCGAGGAAAAGGGATGTATCGCGCTGGTTCTTCGCACCTAAATTCGTTCCAATGAAAAATACATCGAGCATTGTTCAACAGAGCTTTCTTTTCTTTTCCTCATTGCTCAAAAAGGAGAAAAAAAATAAACACTTACGAGTACAGGTGCACTTTGGAAACGTTCACAGAGGTACATGCGTATGAAAAGCACACTTTAAAAAAGACGCCCGCCACGGACACACACGCGCAGCGTTTGTCACGGTGAACACACTCGACCTTGCACGCAACTTTTCTCCGCAGGTGAAAACTGGATTCTCGTAAAAAAGTCCGACGCTAGATCGTCGAGCAGTAAGTGTATTTCGTGTTATCGCGAGGAACTGTGGCTGAGAAAATCGCTCGTCTCGCCAGGGAAACGATAAACTCTGCGATAAATCGTGAACTTTCGACGAGTTTCATCGTTGAGGAACGATCTATGGATCCTGCCTAAAGAATGTTGGCCGATGATACAGCACGCTTTGTCGTTTTCAACGATGAAACGCGGTCTCGCAAATATTCCGGCCCTGAAAAGCGATATCGATTTAGTTTTTAATCTTATGTACACAGAAAGCAGGGCATTCCACGCATTTCTCGTCTTAAAACCGTTCTCGTGAGTTACTCATCATACATACACTATGTACAGTCTCTTTGTACAAGTTTCATCGAAATAAAAGGCAAAGAAGGGGGGAATACAAGACGAGGATAACGTTATCCTGCGCGGGGAGACGAGTAACGATTTCGTAAAAATTTAATAAAACGGATCGAAGCTCGGTGTTCGTCGATTAACTTTCATCCTCCAAACAACGATTAACGATATCCCAAACGACAAAGAAAAAAAAAAAAGAAATTCACTTAACGAGAGGTATCTCCCACAAAGCGTATCACCATCTACGCTCCTGTCGATATTCGAACGTTCATCGCTGGTCATTTTTACACGCGCGTTTTTACATATGCTTTTTACAATAAACTACACCCAATAGAGTTAGAGTCTCGGTTCTTTATCTCCGTGTAATCAGGACGCTTGTTTCATCACGAGTCCAGGAAACGGCTAGGATGCGGCGTCTTCCGGCTTCTCGTGGACGACTTGACTCGAGTCCTCGCGATTCACGCAGTCTCTGATCGCTTGAAGTATCACGCGCACCCTCCTGTCGAGGGCTGTCAGATGAGGTTCCCATAGAACCGGCGCCACAGGGTCCTTCGCCATGCTTCTCCGTAACGTCGAGCTCAGGGGTACTGGTCCGTTGTGAAATCTGAAAACCAGACAAACGGATCCTTTAATTCCCGAATCGAAAAGTTTCCTTCAGCCTTATTCGACTTCGTAGCGAACCGAAGCGACGAGCAAAGGACGAGGGTAAATTTGGAAACCCTTACCGAGACCTTTAACGCGTTAAACGCCACGTTGGTCCCTAGGGACCGGCGGTAGACTTTCCGTTCAGGCCTCGCCGGCCCGTGCGGCCCGGAATGGACCGCATCTTGGCTAACTGTGGCGTGAACGGAAAGGCAGGTAAAAATAGTCTGGCGTTTAACGTGTTAATGCGTTAAACGCCACGTCGGTTCCTAACGATCGGCGCTAGACTTTCCGTTCAGGCCGAGACGGTTCGTACGGCTCGGCGGACTTTTCGTTATTGTTATCACTGCACGCGTGTTGGTCCTTGCGTATTTGGAAGGGCCCGCATGGGGGTTAGCTGTGGCGTGAACGGAACGGCACGTAAAACCGACGTGGCGTTTAACGTGTTAACGTGTTAACGCGTTAAACGCCATGTCGGTCCCTAGGCACCGGCGCTAGACTTTCCGTTCAGGCCTCGCCGGTCCGTACGGCCCAAGAGGGCCCGCATCACGGCTAACTATAGTGTCAATGGAATGGCACATAAAATCGGCGTAGCGTTTAACGTGTCAACGCGTTAAACGCCATGTCGGTCCCTAGGCACCGGCGCTAGACTTTCCGTTCAGGCCTTGTCGGTTCATACGGCCCAAAAGGGCCCGAATAGAACGGCACGTATAATCGACATGGCGTTTAACTCTTCGCGGCACAGGATTTCAGATAATAAACTAGACCAATGTTGCACAGAAATTTTACTGTGTTTTAAATGAAACAAAATTGGTATATTTTCACCAATAAAGGAATCGCGTAATGTAAAAACATAAAACCAGGAAAAAAAGATTGTCGCGATAAACCTTCCGCTTGCAACAATCGATGAACCTGTACTAGCATGTCGAATGTTGCTAACACGAGCGAATACATTTATAACACTTGTCGAAGGCATTCCCAACTGTTTTACGCAAATAAGACGAAATATAAACCTACGCGCATGCAGCTGTTGCAATATTTCGAGATGGGACTAAAAATGTCCCACCGTGCATTACGGTGCGTCAAAAAGGTGGGACACTTTTGATCCCAGCGTGCCCCAAAGAGTTAATGAAATATTCGAAGAATTTATTCGTTCTTCGGAAAACAAGTAAACTTTGATGAAAATAGTTATATAGATTATTAAAGTTTTCTGGAGAATCTGTTTATTTATTTGTTTCAGCTCCACTATGATCACAGCCTAAATTTTTGCGATGATAGTCACTCCTCCTGGTCCTGACATACTTGTTAATTTGTCAGGGCTGTAATCATACCCTTAACAATGCCGACATTATCGATTCGGGTCTTTAATCTTTTATCTTTAACTCTTTGGGGCATGGTGGGACTAAAATTGTCATCGAAAAGGTGGGACACTTTTGATCCCAGCGTGTTCCAAAGAGTTAATGAAATATTCGAAGAATTTATTCGTTCTTCGGAAAACAAGTAAACTTTGACGAAAATAGTTATATAGATTACTAAAGTTTTCTGGAGAATCTGTTTATTTATTTGTTTCAGCTCCACTATGATCACAGCCTAAATTTTTGCGATGATAGTCACTCCTCCTGGTCCTGACATACTTGTTAATTTGTCAGGGCTGTAATCATACCCTTAACAGTGCCGACCTTATCGATTCGGGTCTTTAATTTTTTATCTTTAACTCTTTGGGACACGGTGGGACACTTTTAATCCCAGCGTGACCCAAAGAGTTAACGCGTTAAGCGAGATTTCGAAACGCTTAAAATAAAATCCCAGTGACAGACGTTCCATCTTCGGAACGTTATTTAATATTTAAACAATTTTCTCGCGACCTGTCTCACCGAAATGCTCTCCGAAAAAGGCTATTCCTCTGCCGAAAAACCTGGTTGATCCTCGGTTTTCAATATTCAGAGAATCAAAGTAATTCGATCGTTTTTAATAAACATGCAAATCCACGGACGCAGAAGTCGTCGGAACTCGAAAGATTAAAAACGTGACCCTCTCTCTCTGCTGCCCTGCTCCCGGTCTCTCTCTCTCTCTCTCTCTCTCTCTCTCGCTGTCTGGCACATTGATCAGCGAGCTCGAGCGTGAGGCGACAGAAATTTTTCAATAAAAATGCAAATGCTCGTAATTAGAAGTTGGTCGGATGGTAAGACACGTATCTTACTATCTATCACCGGCAAGTCTCCATCTCCGTTTGTCACCACACCCCCCTTTCTTCTTCCATTTTACCCCCACTGTCGAGCAAATTATTTCACCGGCGCGAAATTTTTCCACATTCCTCCGACATCCTTCGAGATTTCCCGACGATAATGGAGGATCTGGACCTTCCTTGCGGAACAGGCAATGAATAAAGTATCGACTTAAGCAGACGGGTCGCAGGATAGTATTTATGGCGTGTACTGGGTGGCCCATCTGACTTTCGCCTTTTCAAACGGAGATCCCAAACGCCTCAAATATCTATCCAGTGTTTTCCGAATGGACATCCAATGTCCACTTTTGTCACCCGAGTTTTCCATCTCTCGATATTTCATCGATTTCTCTAATTTCGTTATCGAATAGTGGAACTTTCTCAACTGTTGAAAATTGGATTACATAACATTGTATACATGATAAATTTACGTTCTAATGAGAATTAAAAGATTAATAATAATTAAAGGATAATTTGTGATATTCATATTTGGCCCGACTTTCTGTTCACGTGTCTAGCTCGTGGTATTCGTGCTTGGACCAACTTTCTGTTCACGTGTCTAGCTCGTGGTATTCGTGTTTGGACCAACATCCCCATCACGAGTCAGACTCGTCATTGCACGGGAAGGGGTTAATCTTTCTCCTTTTTAGCGACGTTGAGAACACGACAGTTCAGTTTCTTGTCGTCACATTGGTTTATAAATAATATATATCCTTTTAGTTCGAATCAGTAGTTTAGTTTCTTCCCTTTTTCCTTTCCTGTAATTCCTGCAAAAGGAAAAGCAGAAAGCCGAAGAGGACGTACGGAAAAGAACGCTTTAATCGATTGATAAGACGGGTTTCTGAGAGGACACCCTGTATATACGGATCTGTGTGTACACTTAAGGACACGTTCTCGAAGAAGCAGGCGGATAAAAGTATTTTTCTGGCTGACTACTTCTCGATGTCACAAGGGAACGTAGGAAAGCACGCTACTCTCCGTCGAGAGAAGGATAAAGACTTGATCGAACAGCTTTTATACCATTTGAACGATTATGGTCTTCGAGGATATTGATGATCCTGAACGACAGATCCTTTTAATATTTACCCAATCGGGACTCTAACGGAATTTCGTGTTCCGCACTTTTATTACATTTTTCAGCCATTACGTGACAATTAAGCGATTAAATAGCATTCTGCCGGGATTTCTTACAACCGATGGAAGAACCGGGACGCGCTTTGGCCGCGGTGGGAAATAGCCGAAAAAATGCTCGTTTCCACCGGTCACGTAGCAATTTCATTTTTCCCTCTTTGCCAATCCTCGGGCCTGCGTTGTTATTACGATGCAGGAAGGGTGACAAAAAAGTCGCATGTTGGATAACGGTAGAACGAATTACGAACCTGCCCCTATTATCCTGGCTAATTAAAGATTGGAAATAAAATTGCAAACTTAACGATTTAATTACATATCGAAAGAGGTCGGGAATAGAATCGTCCTATACGTGTTTCGTGTCCGCGCAGGCCGGCCTAGCTGAATGAGAATTGAATGAAAACGAAGTCATAATGAAAGAGAAGTAACCGTGACTGACGCGATGAAGTAGCTGCAATGCAGTAACCACAGGATGCAATTATCCTATAATATCGGGTTTAATGGGCAATGTGTGGGCTCCTTCAATGCGTCTTCAACGACCAGCACGATTTCATTCAAGAAGACACTTCGTGCCGGCTATCTTCCAAAGTAATAAGCAAGCGGATCGGCGATCAAACCGAGGTAAAGTCGTCGATATTCCGTGCTAGATCCGCTCGTACCGGCGCGATCGCTTCCTTCTCGTGGGTACCAAAAATCCTCCAGTTCTCCAACGGATCGCCGATACCGACGATATTAGAACAAAAAGTCACGAGGTATGAAAGACGAAAGGCTAACGCGTGTTCATACCGTCGCGATTGCTCCCTGTCACGGGTACCAAAAATCCTCCGGTTCTCCAAAGGATCGACGATGCCGACGATATCCACGATATTCGGACGAAAAATCACGAGGTATGAAAGACGAAAGGATACTAAAGAAAGGCTAACGCGTGTTCGTACCATTCCGATCACTTCCCCTCACGGGTACCAAAAATCCTCCAGTTTTCCAAAGGATCGCCGATACCGACGATATTAGGACAAAAAGTCACGAGGTATGAAAGACGAAAGGCTAACGCGTGTTCATACCGTCGCGATTGCTCCCTGTCACGGGTACCAAAAATCCTCCGGTTCTCCAAAGGATCGACGATGCCGACGATATCCACGATATTAGGACGAAAAATCACGAGGTATAACAGACGAAAGGATACCCACAAAAGGTTAACGCGTATTCGTACAGTCGAGATTGCTTCCCGTCACGGGCACCAAAAATCCTCCAGTTCTCCAAAGGATCGCAGATGCCGACGATATCCACGATATTCGGACGAAAAATCACGAGGTATGAAAGACGAAAGGATACTAACGAAAGGCTAACGCGTGTTCGTACCATTGCGATCGCTTTCCCCTCACGGGTACCAAAAATCCTCCAATTCTCCAAAGGATCGATGATATTAGGAAGAAAAATCACGAGGTACAAAAGACGACGAAAGAAATACCGACGAAAGGTTAACGCGTGTCCAATAGCGATCCTCAGTGGATAGGTGGGAAAGGGGTTAAAACTGGGGGGCCAAATCGAAGCACGAGGGTTTAAAGGAACCACCGAATGGTCGAGATCCCGACCTGGATCACCCTCAGCCGCGAAATTCAATCTGCGAAACGTTCGGTTTCTATCGCGACAGTGGCAGGTGTCGCGCACCGTGGAGGAACACGCGTGCAGAGCGTGGCAAAGAAGATATCGGGCCCGACTTAGCGGGGACTCGTAACGACAACTTAAGCAGCGTGTCGAGCAAATCGATAATCGGTGTTATCGTGCATCGGTGACCGGCGAGCACACCGACACGGGTACGCGAACGTGTGTCTACGCGTGTCGACGAAATCCGCTCTCGTCGAATTTATCGCGCCCGTAAAAAGCCCGTCCCCGTGAATCCGCATCAAAGCGGAGATTCACGAGCGATGCTAGCGACGGCCAATTCTGGTAAAACGTTTCACTCCGAAATCCGCCTTATCCAGCCCCCGGGGCCACGGCTCGTAAAGTTTTCCCAGCGTTTCCCTTTTTCGAAATCCGCCGAGAGGCCGACCGGGGGCCGCTCTGAATTGTAAATTCGCCCCAGATCGATCCTGCCCGCGACACCAGGCCTCGATACGATCGCCGCAACGCGTGGAATTAAACGGCAAGATCGACGATCCTTCGTTCTTCGTCCTTCGTCCCTTTTTCGTCCGTTCTTCGTTCTTCGTCCTTCGTCCTTTTTCGTCCGTTCTTCGTTCTTCGTCCGTTCTTCGTTCTTCGTCCTTCGTCCCTTTTTCGTCCGTTCTTCGTTCTTCGTCCTTCGTTCCTTTTACGTCCGTCCTTCGTTCGTTCTTCGTACGTCCTTCGTTCTTCGTCCCTTTTTCGTCCGTTCTTCGTTCTTCGTCCTTCGTCCCTTTTTCGTCCGTTCTTCGTTCTTCGTCCTTCGTCCCTTTTACGTCCGTTCTTCGTTCTTCGTCCTTCGTCCCTTTTACGTCCGTCCTTCGTTCTTCGTCCCTTTTTCGTCCGTTCTTCGTTCTTCGTCCTTCGTCCCTTTTACGTCCGTCCTTCGTTCGTTCTTCGTCCGTCCTTCGTCCGTTCTTCGTTCTTCGTCCCTTTTTCGTACGTTCTTCGTCCGTCCTTCGTCCGTTCTTCGTTCTTCGTCCCTTTTTCGTACGTTCTTCGTCCGTCCTTCGTCCATTCTTCGTTCTTCGTCCCTTTTTCGTACGTTCTTCGTCCGTCCTTCGTCCATTCTTCGTTCTTCGTCCCTTTTTCGTACGTTCTTCGTCCTTCGTTCGTTCTTTGTCCGTCCTTCGTACGTTCTTCGTCCTTCGTTCGTTCTTTGTCCGTCCTTCGTACGTTCTTCGTTCTTCGTCCCTTTTTCATACGTCCTTCGTCTGTTTTTCGTTCTTCGTCCGTTTTTTGTTCTTCGTCCTTCGTCCCTTTTTCGTATCTTCTTCGTCCGTACTTCGTTCTTCGTTCTTCGTCCTTCGTTCCTTTTTCGCCCGTCCTTCGTCCGTTCTTCGTTCTTCGTCCTTCGTCCCTTTTTCGTCCGTCCTTCGTTCGTCCTTCGTCCGTTCTTCGTTCTTCGTCCTTCGTCCCTTTTTTGTACTCTCTTCGTCCGTTTTTCGTTCTTCGTCCTTCGTCCATTTTTCGTATGTTCTTCGTCCCTTCTTCGTTCTTCATCCTTCGTCCCTTTTTCGTCCGTCCTTCGTCCGTTTTTCGTTCTTCGTCCCTTTTTCGTCCATCCTTCGTCCGTTCGTTCGTTTCGTGACCGGTCGAGGATCGTTGGAAATTAATTGGAGATTCGGCCTGCCTGCCTCACGGACGGACGTCGGGTGAAGAAGCCTGAGGATCTTGATCGACGGACTTACGGATCTTCCGAGAAGAGCGGAGAATTTCGCAAGTATGAAAAACTTGCGGGAAAGTTTGGAGAACTATAAAAAGTTTGGAAATCTACGATACTATCGAGTACGCGGGGCGAACAATGTATCCTCCATAAAAATGGAATATGAAAGAAAAATGGGGTTAGGAAAATCAATTAGAAAGGATTCCTGGGATACCGACGGAACTTACTTTAGAAGCGTGCTGAGGGTGTTCTGTCTGATCATGCAGCACTGCAAAATGGGTGCGAGGATGGAGATCTCGTCGTGGAAGGGCCTGCCGAACCCCCTGCCGTGGTCCAAGTGCAGGGGGAACGTGTTGTTGCCGAAAATCTTGAACGTCTCGTAATGGTGCCTGTCCATGTTCCCCATAAGGAAGTCCAGGACGGCCATGTCCATCAGATCGAGCAATCTTCGGCCCTCGTGGTAGGGTGGAATTTCCTTCACGAGGGAACAGTAATCGGAATCTGAAACAATTCGGAACGAGAGTATCAAAGAGATTTGTGCCATTCATCGCGAAATATCGTCGCGGCGTGCCGACGATAATTAAAGATTTCGGAGGGGAATTTTTTTAGTCCTTTTCGCACTTGAAATTTTCATACCCGGCGAATATATATTCGTTATGTAACCAGGTTATGCATGGATTATGAGAGCTACGCAGGCTTTTAAATTTTCAAAGCACCAGCCTATCAAATATTCACCGACCAGCTCGAAAATATATATATTCCCACCGATAGCAACTTCTTTCAGTTTCTAGATTTCAATTTTCGACTTCTCAATTCCCCCGGCACGACCATTTACCATATAAAAGCGATTTAGAGGAATCGCCACGATCGATATTAGCCGGAATAAACAGATTTTTATTACGGTATGTTTGCGAATTTGCTCGAAAGGCGGATTAAAATCATCGAAACTTCGCGCGATAATAACTCGCGAACCAGGAGGTATTTACTCGAGAAAATACGACAAATGGAAGCGGGGGAGCTTCCTCTTCGAGCCGGTTTTTGTTTCCACGCGATACGAGGTTCGGTTCTCGAAATATCGTCGTGCAAAGCCGAGCGCAATTTTTAATAATTCAATATCTCCGTCTCGCTCGCACGCTCGGACCTCTCGCTCGCACCCGTTCGCTGACCTACCCCGTGCCAGACACCTGTGCAGTGGTCAGTGAAAGACGCTGATTTAGCGTTTTTTTCACTACTACTACCAGTCGTGCGTACACGATTCCTGGAAAAAAACTAGGTCACGGCGGTTTCCGGGAATTTCGACCGCCATTCATCTTAAACGCTCCGCTATCAACCCCTGTATCTCGGCAACCATTCAACGTATCGACTTCAAACAAAGTGCATTATAAAGAGTACGTTCCCCGCTATGTACCCGGCACACCCGCCGGAAAATTGGGTGCATATTCCCCGCGTATTTTACAACCCCGTTTAATATATCACCGACGTACGTCTCTCCTTTTTTTCCCCTCGCCCCGCCGTTTTTAGAATCGCGAAATTGTCGAGCGACGATAAACGAGCGAAATTGCACGGCGGAATAATCGCTTCGGCTTAAAATCGGCATTAAAACCAGCGGTTCGGGTAGAAACGAACGCGACGACGATACCGAGTCGTTTGCTCGTATTAAAATAATCCTAACGATTTCCACCACGGTCTATCCAGCCTAACTGCACCACGGAACAGATCTCTACGATCCGACGGGGGAAGCTTCGTTTTCCTAGCCGTTTACGCCGTTCTCTTTTTATCGCGTTACGATAAACGCGGGGAACAAGTATCGATCGCGAGGAGAGTCGGATCGAGAAAGGAATATACCCCTCACCGTGCTCCCACTGAGCTTTCTTCCTCTTGTGATAACTCCTGCGCCAGGGGTGTCGCCAGGCCTTCCTCGCGACGAAAGATTTATCCGGCAAGAACGCGGCGAAGCTCCCTTCAAGGGTGTCCGGATTTCCGCAAATCGCGTGCGCCGTATCGCAGTAATAACTGCACTTGCCGTGGAAGCAGATATTACCGGCGGGGCTGACGAAGAACGTCTTCAGCAGCTCGCCGTCGGCGATCTGATAAATCTCTGTCGTTAGGTTCAACGTTCTGCCAGTGACTGGCATCGCCCTCCGGAATCCCAGCAGCCTGGAACAGCAAATTCTCCGATGAAGGCAAACTTTTACCTCTCGTTCGATCAAACTCGCAGAAGAAACTATACCGACGACGTTGAATTATAGCGGGACGGGGGTGGTTTGTTTTCCCGGAATCGTTTTTCCATTTTTTTTAATAAAGGCTCGATCAGCCGAGCACTCGGTTACCTGTCTAGATGAAACGCAGCGATCTCGGCTGTGTGCCTCTCGAAGTCGGTGAAGTAGAAGTGATTCGGCAGAGTTTGCTGTTCCCGTGGAAACCTGCGGCATAAATAAATATAATTATTCGCAAATCTTATAAGCACTGTTATAAGCACTCTTGAAATTGGACGAACACACTTTTTATTTTGCAAACGTACAGATCAGATGTGATGCAGAAAGACGACGACAACGACTCGAGAACAAGCGAGGGTTTAGGAGACACGCGGTTCCCTACGCCTAGCAAACCCCCACTCCTTTCAGGATGTATTTAGATCTTTTAGGTGACAATAGATGTAGCCGATTGTTCCAATTAATTCTCAACATCTTACGCGACCCGTATTGTAGTATCGCAAGTTTTCCACTCCATGTACACGTAGATTTACCAAGGTCACAGAGGGTTCGAGGGACAGGTAATGCGTCAGGCCCTTAGCACGACCATATTGTAAGAGGGGGTTCTAAGTGAGAGTTAGGCCACAAGTCTAATCTAAAGTGGCTGATTCGATATTCTTCTCTTCGCTACGAGGTACGCACGCTCTCGTCTTTCCCGTAAACTGTCTCTTAATAACTCCTCTCAAAGAACTGTCTCAGAACTGTCCCATACGCTTCTCGACCTATCCTTCTAACTCTTTGACTACGGCAGACTTCGAAACGCACCGGTCGTAGCACACGGGTAGGAATTAATTTACAATATCCGCCGAGAACGGCAAAATTTTGGGTAGAGATGCGCCCTTCGTGTCAGAAAAGCAAACTGTGTTGAGCGCTTATATGCGCCTTCCGTGTCACAAAAGCAAAATTTCTGAGCGCGTATATGCGCCCACAGTAGCCAAGGGGTGAAGGATAGGTCTCCTTTGTTCATTGATCGCGGATCAAGCGGATCGCCGTGTCGATTTGAGACTCTAATTATCATTGCTACGTGTTGCTCACTCACGCTGTCTTATCGGTAACCAGAGCTCGCCTAATCTTATATATTCTTACAATATTTGGTCCTGTTGGGGGAGGTATTGGAAAACGCGTGCATGGTGGGAAGAAGAATATAAAAGAACGAGGACGTACTGAATTGTGAAAAGAGAGTTGTCGAAGTTAGTCGCCAGAATTGTCGTTGTTGTTAGAATTGTTCCTTATTAGATAAATCACGGGAAACACTTTTAGAATTCCTTACTACACGTGTTGACTCTACAGCGGTCCCTTGGTCACTGGCCTCGGGTCTCGACGGTTAGGATCGAGCCAGTCGGATATAAACAAAAGACGCCGGAAACGCTAACCGTCCATACGACTTCACGCTTGTATCTATATATACAGCCAACGATTCGCAGTTATATTATCAAGGCTTCACGATCCACGATATTTTTTCTAAAGAACGGTGCGAGTTGAAAAATTTTGTGCTATTAAACTGATAATATTTTTTGAACAGTAAATAAGAAATCGTATAATAATTAACCCTTTGCACTGGGCAATCTTTTCGTTACAGAAACAGTAATTAGAAGTGCAAATTAATTGTAAGACGTAGAATTATTTTACCTCGATATTCCACGCGTCGTTGGGCAATTTTAAATTCGAGATATTAATTAACAACGATCTTTAGAATCTGATTAAATGGAGGCTGAGAGTCGCCTCTCGAGTGCAAAGGGTTAACACGTAGAATTATTTAATTTCGATACCCAGCACACTGTTATATTATTTTAAAATTGGTATATTAATTAATATCGAGCTTCGAAATTTTATCAAATTGCGACTGAAGGGCGCCTCTTGAGTGCAAAGGGTTAACAGTTGCTAGCTGCGAGTAATATAATAGTATATAATAGTAATAGTATAATTAATTATATATAATTGTATATAAAAGTAATAATGTTGAGCGTTGTGATAAATTGTAATAATTCGTATCTTTATCGTTACTCATATATTCTATCACTGTTAATTTATTATTAAATAAATATATATCATCAACCAAATCCCTCCATAATATTTTCTCTATACGTTTCCCTCTCACGCGGTGGAGACAAACGGTGACCTATAATAACGCGAACGCGTGCGTGGAAGCACGCGCGATTTTTCCGGCATCGTGGACCCAAACCCTCGTTTTCCCAGAAATATCTTCCCCGTTCAAGGGCACCGACGGTATTCACCGCCCAGAGCATACCGAGCTAAGATCTTTGCGGGAAAACACAGAGGAGAAAGTAATTTCCACTTTCGAGACAATGTCGAATGGTTCGCGAAGAAACCAACCTTTCCACATATTTCCATAATTGCATCCTAATTCGTCATCTTCCTTCTCCAATTTTCGCTTTCTCCGAGCAATAAATTACAACTCGGCGTTGCTTCAATGGCTGCTGGAAATAATCGGAATTAAAGCGAAAATACAGCGGGAATTTTCGTTCTCAGCTCGCTGTGCTGCTCGAAAAATATTTTTCTCGTTCAAGGCCATGGCACGTACAGCTCCGCGACGGTTTCGAGATGTCGGAATCCAAGAGAAGACGATTTCTCGAGAAAACATAACGCTATGGAGAGAGCGGACAGGTGGAGAGAGGAAGAGAGAGGGAGAGGACGAAGAAACTGTTTCTCTTCTTGCCCCTCTCTCTCCTCGTTCCTTCGTGAAAGTCGACGGCGATAAATAAAAAAAGGACGTCTCCAGGGAATCCTTCTCGTACGTGTGCACCTTTTCTCGCGAAATATGGCAGAAGAACAGGAAGCCCAGAATTCCGTCGATACACCGACGTTGAACGAGTGCATGTTACCGAGACTCGATGGAAATGTAAATAACGGGGGAGACTTGTACGGAATCGGAGAAATATTCCTAATTTTCCGATCTCCTCGGGTTCACCCGGAAATCGCGTGCAATTTTGAATAAACCGATGCCTAATCTCGATAACCGGGCAACTTTTCGCACACTGCTGTCCCATATCCAAACTTTCACGAACTTTGAATTAAAATTCCAGGGGAACATCGAAATACCTCGGTCAAAGTTCGTGTACGTATTACGCTTTATCGATGTCAAATAATTTCCATCAACGATTCAACGCACCCTCGATCAACGCGATTTTTCTACTCTGCTCCGGGTAATTATGCCGTGAATATTATATAACCGTCGAGAGTAATTGCATCCTCCGATTGCGAGGCTAATTATCGAAGATCGAGATGAGCGATATCGATAATACCGTTTCGACACGAGGTTAAGCGAGACTGCGCCGTGTTTTACGAGATGGCTGCTCCGTTCAAAGGAGGCTCGAGGATCGAGGAGCGCGAAAAAGATGGCTGCACGGGTTCAAAGGGGAGGGTGGAATCCTGGGAGACTCCTGACCGATAAAATATTTACCCGCGATCTTCGCGAAGAGTTTACGAGCCGATTCGCATGATCCATAACGCGGCTATCGGCGAGCGGAAAGCGATAGCCCCAAGTCCCTACGAGTCCGATTTAGGGGTGGCGAAGGACGGCGAAATTGACGCGTTTCGGCGCCGAAAATTGTTGGAAGGCAACTTTATGCATTGTCGCCTTTATCTTAAAACGTTTCTGACGTTTAAAACCGATACGAGACAGTCGAGAGCTGTAATAGGTCCAGCGTTTATTCTTTTTTGATTCTCGTTGGTCAGTTGTGCGTCATTCTTTGTTGCGATCGGACAAAACGATTCGAATCTTATTTTTGCCATGGCTCCAGACGTCGGACTATAATTCCATCTCTATAATTGTATCGTGTTTCTCAATTTTGCTATTGTAAATTAAAATTACTAAATTAAAAATTAAAATTACTAAATTAAAAATTAAAATTACTAAACGCTCATCCCTTCTACCTGCTACCCTGTCATAGCACAACGACCAAGGGGTACCAACAGGTAGCACCGTAGGAACCACCGAAACGACCCAGACTTCATCATCGATACTCCGTGGGGAGGACCCCCTAAAATTCTATCTATCTCTATAATTGTATCGTGTTTCCTATTTTTCCTATTCTAAATTAAAATTACTATTTCATCGAATACCTGTATAGCGTATTTTTTAACCATAAATCTACGACAGAGCGGAAAACGCTAGTCCGAATTCCCTCTTAGAGTTGTCCGATTTAGGGGTGTCGAAGGGCGACGAAATTGGCGCGTTTCGGCGCCGAAACTGAAGAGAGCAACACCTCGTGGTGCGAAGCAAGCAAGAATATCTTAATTCTCGACGAATCGTCGAGGTGGCGAGATCGGGTTTATCGTTCTCCTCGAAATGTCAGCAAAGAAGTTCAGCGTTTTACGGCGACGCTTTATCGGCCACCTCGACGAGGGTGGAAAGGTTGCAAGACCGAGAATCGTCGTGGAAAACAAGTCGGCAAGGCAGCGAGACTTTGCTCGATATTTTTGGAGCATACAGACAAAGTCAGAAACGTCTTCCAGACGTTTAACTCGATTATGAGCGATCGCCATTGCGATGGAAGGAAATTTTCAAGCGGTTTAAAAGGAGTCTCGGTTTAGCTCCCAAAGATTCGTAGCTCGGCGAAAAAAGGAATATTCAACTTGAAGAGTGATCGACCCCCCGACTATGGAACTTTCCACCCGCCCACCAAGGGGGTGAAAACTCTGCCAAGTACCGAATTTTCGTTTCCCCGCTATCGAACGCCTGGACTTTCGTTGAAGAAAGAATGTGGAACTTTTTCCATCGAGAGAATGAACGGAGAAAGAGAAAGCAAGGTGGAATCCCGAGGTAGCCAGAGATCGAAGACCACGAAGATCGGGTAATCGAGGGTTCTCCGTGGGAAAAGGATTTTCAGTGGAAACGAAACAACGAGGAACACGGAGAGCCTCGCGTACGGAGGAACTTTTCCAAGCAGCCCGAGCTAATTAATACGACGGTCGCGCGGTAATTAGCGCGTAATTTGCATCCGATTAAAAGTTAACTGGCATCGCAAGGCTGCCAGCCAACCCGTGCCGCCTGACCTTCCAACTCCGCGGCATAATTCTGTTTACCAAAGGCTTCTTCTCCTCTCGCGAATTTTCTGCCGTCTGGCCGGTGTGGTGCGCGGAAAAGATAACCGGTATTTCGTCGGAATAATTGCGCGGAATAAGACCGGCTCGCCGCCATTTTATATTCA